GAAAACTAGGTTTCTTGAAGGATACTGCAGTGTCGCATTCGAATAGGAAATATTGTTTTGCATACCTTTAGATTTTTATATTTGATGCATTTAATTTGAAATTTTTATTGTTTCATATCAAAAATACCAGTGAGTTTTAAGGAGAAAGACAAAAAATACCCCACTATTCTATCTGATTTTGTTCAGGCTCCAATCAAACGAAAAAGTCCATTCAAAGTTACAGTGTCTTATGGATTTTTAAAATCAGCAAAACTTTGGATTTTTAAATTCGATTTCAACAACTTGGTCAAATTCTACCAGCATTTCTTGGTTACCCCTTAAAATAGTTTTTCTTTGATTTTTTATTTTTTTATTTACGTAATCGACAAATTCTATATTTATTTTTTATTATATAGTTAAACGGTTAAACAACTACGACTAAACAGTTCGTAGTTTAAGATTCAGTTTAACCACCTGGTTCATTAGTTTCATTAGTTCAGGATGTGAACTGTAGCTTTTCTTAGTCAATTCCATCATCAAATAATAAAATTTCTTTAATTTTTTTGAAAAATCAAATAACTTAGAAAATTCGAATTAATCATAAAATTATAATAATTTAAAGTAAATAAATTAAAAAATGAAGGCCAATAAAATCTGCATAAAAATGGCCTTATTTATTTCTTAACCAGTCTTCACTGGCCCAGAATAAAGAACTCTACCATTTAATCGCAAGAATGTGACAGAACTGACAAACATCAAGGAGTCAGCTTGCTGGATTTCCCCAGTAATATTCTTTTTTTATTTTCGCCGTATTTCTGCTGCAAATAATTGTAGTGCGGTGCTAGTTAAATCTTTTCGCGCTAAAAAAGTTAATGGAGCTTCTCATCAGGAATAGTTTGGAGAAATTGGATTCTTGTAAAATTATTATGAGTGCAAAACTGCTTTCGTTCAAATTCTTATTTTGTATCGATCTTTTGGATTTATGGAGTTGAAAAGCAAAATTCTGATTTTTCAAAAAGCTATGCTGATAACGTTTTTAAAAAAATGGCCAATAAAGTAAAAAAATAAAATTTATATGAAATGCTTTACGATATCTTTGCGCCTTATTTATCACTTTATGATGATGAAAATACACTAAATTTTCAACCTCTAAAAATGCAATGAGATCAAAAAATGATCGAATTTGGCAATTAAATTTTAACGAATTTTTGAGAAAATAACTGATTCTTGAAGCAGAACGATTGGTTATATTGGTTATATATGTAAATTCTCTTATAATTCCTTTTTTAATCTCTTTTACTCTCTTTTAAAAAGCATTTCCCATTCTCTGGCTAAATTACTTAACAATTCACGTTTTCCTGACCTAATCTATTTAAGGAAGAATTTGTGGCTTTATGCAGATTAGTAATTATTTTAATTAATATAAATTACCAATAACTAGAACTGTATTATACTAACTGTATTATACTAACTGATATTGCAGCTTGTCATTGACTTTTAAAGATCTTTTTTTATCAATAATAACTATTTTAAAGTTCAAATCATTAGAAAAAATAATTAGTGGGTCTATAACACAGCTTATTTTGTAGTTTTTTCAGTGATAATATGTGGCACAACTTTTTGTTTCATTATTTACCTGCCAAAATTCGCTTTTATTGGCTTCTAAAATTCTAAACCTTTTCTTCGTTAAAATTGCAAAGATGTTGATAGCAAGTCATGAAACTGATTGATTGACAGAATGAGAATCGTGAGAGAATTCATTATTATAAATAAGTTTTCAGGATTAATAGGGGAAAACCAAACAAGCTAAATTTTTTCAAAATAATAATGCCAAAAAAATTCTTAGCAGATCGAATTTTGCAAATTAAAAACTTATTATTTACATTATATATATTAGATTATTTGTTAAATAATATAAAAATTAGATTGCTGAGAATTTTATTAATGGTTTATTCCTTATGGACAAACTGCTGTCTATTGAAATTAGCCTATACAGCTTATCACTTAGCTTAAAAAAAGTTTCCCGTTCAAAGTGCGGTTAAAAATCAACAATTTCTTTATGATTAAAAATTTTATTATAAATTATTCAAAAGAACAATTTTTTTGGCCAGTAATCCCTCAATAATTTTAGATTCATTTAGTGAGATTTGAAATTTTGTTAGAAAAGAAACCAAGAAATTCAGCGAAATTAAAAACCAATTTTTAACTTTTTAATTCTATTGTTCTGATTTGTTCTATTCTTTAGAGGCTCAACACTTGATGTTGCGAAACTGAAGGCGTTTCTAGGCGACAGACAATGGAAAGAATGGACTTAAGAAGCGACCTTCATGTCATATCTAAATAATGCAAGGTGAATAAGCTTAAAATAATGAAAAACAGTGCAGCTTTCTCCATGTTTTTGCAAGTTCGAATTTTTTAAAGTCTTTTAATGAATAATAAATATCAATTAAGTCTTCAAATCAAACATAGCTTCAAGCATAATATTGGTGTATTGAAGAAGAAATTTTCAATTGACTATTGCACAGAACTTGCTCATTACACTGCGTTATTTCGCATTTCTTAAAAATGAGACGACATTTCGCTTATGGTCATGAAAATTTGCGTAAGGTCTCATTATGGGCTGAGCCGCTTTTAGACTGAGAGACTGAAAATACAGATAGAGAGAGAGAAAGAAAATCGAGAGAAATTCAAAAAAAAATTACCCAAATGTCGCACACTTTTAGCTTATAGATTAGTACGAAATTCAGAGGCTCCAGACGAGTAAAAGCCACTCGGTTATCAATTTTGCACTTCGTAGAAAATTTCTATTTTTGAATTATTTAATTCATTAATGACAGCATGTTTAAACCTATTATTTTCGAACTCTTGATTATGGTTGAATTGCGACTGCTTTCTTGACTGCGATTCTAGTTGCATTTTTCTCACTTATTATTGTACTGTTGGAACTAATGGCCACCAGCTGGGTGACCCGCGATCAACGCAATCCATCAAATTCTATTTACAAATAAAATTTGTGAGCTTTTACGAATTGTTTCCAAAAAATTCTATTTACAATGTAAAATTTAATGTTTCGAAATTCCTTCACCAAAGATACCAAAAAAGACTCCAATTCAACTATAAAATAAAATGTTAATGACAGTATGTTAAACTAAAATTAAACTAAACTAAATTAAAATTTGAATATCAGAATTTTTTTATAAAAAAAAATATATGAATGAAAATATGCATGAAACTTCAAATTTATATTCAAATTTCAATGCAAAAAGTTTTTGTAAAACTTCGATCAAAAATTTGTTAAAAAGGGACCCCCTGGTAATTTGTCTGATAAGACAAGCCAGCGACGCGAGTTTAGCCAGTAAACGTGAGGATTGCTAGAAAAGAAATTTTGAAATCGATAATAAAGGATATATATATGTGTTTTGTGACATTTCTGCAAGATTACAAGAAAGTATACTTCTTACATTATTTCTAACGGGTTTTAGCACAATATAATTTTTTGGTACTTTTCGGTTAAAGAATCTAAACGATTCTATAGGACAGACTTCTAGTCATCTTTGTGCTCTGTTCATTCATTTGTGGTTCTCTCTAACTAATTTACTACTAAATTTATAGCCCACATTTAAAATCGCTAGTCTTTATCAGTAAATGGGGTTGGTAATGGTTCAGATAATCTTTTAAAATCTAAATCTATTTGTTTACGGTAACTTCCATGTTTCGACCATAAAATCACCAAAAACTTAAAATAATCCATTAAAAAATCCTAATGTGGCTGTGCTTCTGTCTAACAAAGTCTTTTCTAGTAGGGCGAGTTTAACCAGTAATGATGAACGATAACCACTTTACTGGCTTAACGATTTTGTAGAAAAAAAACTAAATAAAAAACATGAACATAAGAAGTGAATTCATTAAATTGAAGTTCATTAAGAATTAATCTAACATATAACTTTCGTGTTTCGTCCATAAAATTTCATTAAGTGCTTAACCACTGTCGCTGTTTTTCAGCATTTGGGACTTTCATTCTACTGAATATTTCTTTAATATCCCTCGTGTTTATATGAATTGGTACTCTCATGTTTAAGTGAATCAACGATTTAAAAAAAACAGATCAAATTACATTTTCAACAATTTACGCGCAATTTCACCCGATGAGTATATTAAAAAATGCCTTAAGGGCCTTCTCTAAAAAACATATTTTCTAATTTTGCATATTTTTTGAATTTTTAGATTATCGTTAGCAAAAAAAAAGGAAAAAGCGATGTTTAACTGACTGAAATCGGAAATCATAGTGTGCCACCTCATTAATCATTGATTCTTTCAATATTTGAAAGCGCTGTTCGTAGGTTTCTATACGAAATGAATCGATAATAAAATTGGAAAAAGAATCGTATATAATTAGAATCGTATATAATTCCATTACACTTTTAATAATTTCCTGGTAAATGGAAAAATAAAAAAGGTTTTGCCTTTTGCCTGACTTGATGATAAAAAATGAAAAATTAAACGCAAATGAAACACGTTTATTTTATTTCTTTGACATTTGAGATGCGATTGAACGAAGAAAAAATTGAGGATATGAATTTTTATTCGGAAATTCATCTTTACTAAGTTTTATTTTCGCTGAACTGATAAATTATTTAAGAAATTAATGCTGCTTATGCCGATTTTTCTCATATAAGCCATTTTTCATTTCATATTTTCATTTAGTGGATTGCAGAAATTCTTTTAGCGAAAAACCGGCGAAGTTCTTGAAAAAACTCATTTTTTAATCATTCTAAACGACATAAGAAATCCACAAAGATGTCACAGCAAATAAATATTGGTTTGATTCCAAGTGTGTAAGACGAAGGATTTTTAGTGTCTCCGTGGAAAATTTAGCTAGATTTATTTCTGAAAGAAAAATAATTTGAAAAGGGTTTTATACGACAGATGTTAGTGCTGAGCAATTTATCTTAAATAAAACCTCATTTATTTCTCAGTTTGCTCGCTTCTTCTTCATTCCTTACATTCATCACCTATCAATCATGCAAAACTTTCCGCTAGTTTTTATAATTATCGTGGCGAATCGCATCCATGTAAGTTCTCATATTATGAATTAAGAATTTATATTTTATTTTATGAATTTTATGAATTTATATTTTATAAACATGAATAATTCCCACAATCAAACTTTTATTTCACCTTTCCAAATTTTTTATTGGATTTCCGATCAAGCGATAAATAGCGATAAAATATAGCCAAAAGCCAAGTCAAAAGTGGCGGAAAAAGCCAGTTATCATCCAGACAATACAGCTACTATATATTCTGTCTCTCATGGTTTTCTTCTTAATAGGCAATGGAACTAATCAAACCAAAAATGGTAAATGCTATTAGAAGAGAAATAATAATCAATCCGAGCGTAGTTAAACGACCTCAAGACATTAGAAAATAATCTGCTTGACAACGATAACTGCTCGAAATCTGTCAAGGGAAACGGCTCTCTGCACATGATGCGAGGTATTAACCGTAGAGGATCAAAATATTTATGGACATCGCAAGCCAAATGATTACTGACCACACTCTTCCTAAATGTCGTGTAGATATCGTCTGCTTGTTGGACGTCTGCCTTCCTCACTTTGAGTCTCGAGTAATCACTAATCCTGGCTCGGAGTAGAGGTTTTAGCTTTATCACTATGATGCTAGGGATGAAATGGCATAACGAGTGACATTCCTGACAAAGCTTATTCCACTTTGATTGAACGGAAAGCGGTAAGCGACCGTATGGCCTCGTTTTAAAGGAAACCTCTGCAATATCTCGGTCACCAGTGTCTATGCTCCAACTTTGTCGGCAGATGACTGTGATAAAAATAAGTTCTATGGTCATCTCAAACTTTAAACAACATCTCATACCACATCACTCAAACAACATCCCACGATAAATTAACTGGCGAATGATGTGCTTAGGTTGATAGTAAAAGAATTTTTCTTCTTTAAAATCACCATGATTTTAGTGTTGCGATATACCACCGGATTTGTGGTGCGATAGTTTCGACGCAGCTCGTCGTTGTGGTGTTGTAAATCAATGTGAGGATTTTCAGCGAATACAGAAGCCTATAAAATTAACATTATTTTACGAAGCATTATGCCCATATTGCCAACGATTCATTGGAAATCATCTGGGGAATTTATATAATCAATTTCGAAATCACATTGAACTCGAGCTTGTTCCATGGGGTAACTCGCGTTTTTTGAGAGTAAGTTCTTATTCGTTTTCCTTTATTTATTTATCTTTTTATTTATTTTTTTAATTTATTCACTATTTATTTATTTGTGCATCAAATCTTTAAAAAAATTCCAATCACAATCCAATTTAGATTTCAATTTATTTTTTCGAAACATAGTTTTCGAAATCTTTTGTTAAATTTTATCATAGCTGTTGATTTTAGTGATGCATTCTGCATTAAAATATTAATTATCACTTTCCACATAAACTCTGTTTTCAAAGGTTTTTCACCACTGCTGGCTATTTTAATGGTAAGACAAATGCCGTCTGGCTTTTTAATCAAACTGCAAAGTTGAACTTTAGAATGGTTCAATACGGTGTAATCATGGTCGCACTGAATGTGACGCAAATCGCCTGCATAGCTGCGTTCTTCATCAAACAAAGATGAGACATGCTTTACCTTTTATCATTTGTTTTGAACGATCGTTAACTAATTCAGTGGACTCAGCCTTTCGCCACTGCTCCGGATTCGTACGTCATCATTATCGTAAAATTAGGTAAAATTATTTAAATTCCGGTAAAGTAGCTCAATTGGTTTGCTTTTAAACCATCAGCTTATATCGCCGTCCAACAAGTCAGCAGAACGAGCCTAAGGAAAAAACGCTCTTAAAAAAAATCGTAAGAATAAGGTTGCCATATTCGAATGTAGGAATGCATTCACAATTTTGATAAACACATATAGAGAATGAATGGCGTTCCAGGGAGTGCATTGTGCCAGGGAAACTTTTGGTCAATTTCGCTAATGTTCGAAGAAAATATTGAATATTTCTCATTTATTTATATTAAATGTATTTATTTATTCAAATATAATAATAAAGAGTATAATTATCTTTGAAAAATCCGAGTGATTTCGGTGATCCTCTTGCATTTTTATCTTCTATCGCCAAGTGGCTCCTTGGTTTTGTGTCCAACAAATGCGAAGTGAATCTAACCAGAAATGGTGTACCTTTGGAAAAGACAAATTCACAAGAACTATGTTAGGGAAAGAAAAAATAAATAAAAAACTGCAGGATCGATTTAAACGAAAGTTAAACGAAAGTTAACCTAAAGGATAAACAACAATATAAAACATTTTAGGCACTGTTATGAGTCCGAACAAGGCATGCAACTGCAACGTCTCGCTGCTCAACGTACAATGTCCGTTCGACCGAATCCTATAGTTGAAGTGCCATATATTCTTATCAATGATTACAGCCCAACTACAGATACAAATAATCTAAACATTCACGCTATTCATTATTTGCTGAAAAAGTGGTTACGATCCGCCACTCGTCTTCACTGATAATTCGCAGAATGGAGAAACATAATCGATTATATTTAAATCAATCAGTATCAACAATAATTTATCCTACTTCGTTATAAAAATTATAAGAACAAGCTTCGGCCATTTTTCATATAAAAAAAGAAGGCAACAAATAGGAACGGCAATGTTGATTTCTTTGATGGAAACCCGTCTTTCAGTTACGACTCAATTCTTTCATTATTTTATTCTGCTGCCTTTTCCACTGTCAACTACTTTTTCTTTTTTTCCATGACCGGACGTGTCGATAAGAAAAATTTTAGTTGCAAACTTTGCTGAATTCAAAATTATCTCACTTTCCAGATCCCTGTTTCTTTGGAGGCAAATCGCTAATTTCACAGCCCATATTAATACTATTCCACTTATCATATAGAATTTTTATGCTGCTAAACGGAAAATTTTGAAGAATTATAGCTAAAGAAGAACTAAAAAGGCAAGAAAAATCACCAAATGCGCTAAAGAAAAGTTTTGGATTTTTCAATCTTAAACTACCAATTGTTTCTCTGTTTTTTTTGGTTTTCTTTTTGTTATTTCTATGTAACTTCTTTAATAAAAAAGGTTTTACTGATTATGCGAGTGAAATGGAAGAAATTAAAGAAATAATATCGAAAAAAAATGGAAGTTAATAAAAACAGAATAAATCTGAAGATTGCATAACCATCAATCTTTACGTCAAAAATCGACAAATGAGATAAATTGAATAAAATTTGAACAATTTACGATTTAATTAGTTTCCTTTCGAATTCATTTATGATATCCATAGTTTTATTCCACAACAAATCTTGCAGTTCTTCATCTGACATCAAAAGTTGTGCAGAATTTTGATTGGCCACTTGGCAGTCTTGAAAAAAATGACCACTATTCTGAAAGCCGATTTTGTCCACAGCCAAAAAAAAAACAAATAATGATGAGGGAAAATAAAAGAATTCATGCGAAACGGCTCGAAACGTACATTTCTTAAGTCATCCGATACTGCACAAAATATGGTGGTAGCAGCTCCCTGTTGCAAACTTTTTGTAAAAGGCTTCGTTAGCATAGCTATTAATTGCCACAGAAATCCAAAATTACGAGCAATCCCTAAGGTTAGGCAAATTTTATTATGGAAAAATTCAGATTGCAAGTGATGCACAATATCGAGAGTCAATACAAATTATCCACAAAAAATCTCATAAACAATATAACACTTATTATTAAATACTTAACTCTGATTTCAACAAATTACCAGTTCCAATCATCGTTCCTGGATGTAGAATATAAACATAAATATTGTTAATTTTCTCATCTCTACTAAGCTTTACCGCCATGAGGTTCAAATCGAGCTTTGAAACAGCATAATGCTTATATATGGAACAAAATGCTTCCGAAAATTGTCTACCAGGTATTAACGTCTTCATTTTTTCTTCAAGTGGCCATTCAGACTTTACCTTAAATCATCATTGTAATAAAATGTAATAATAAAATTCACATTTTTTAACAGGTTTTCTAATTAATTTTTTTAATTTTTCTTCTGAAAGAAAAAGTACGAGACTAAAAAAATAAACGAACTCCAGTATGATTATGAGAAATAGAGGAAACGACAACGATCCTAGCTGGGGCACTTTGGCGAAGTTTTTCAAGCAACAATTGAATCAGATAAAAATGACTGAGATAGTTAACTCCAAAAGCTGTCTCAAAACCATCCAAAGTCTTTTTCGCAGATGGATTAAATACTCCTGCGTTTAATATCAAAGCATGCAAAGGCCTACGACAACAAAAACTTTATATAATTTTTGGAAATTCTTGTGAAGAAAAATAAAAAATTGAAGAGATATTCAAGTGAATATTTTTTTAAGAAGTGCTACTACCAGTTTTTCGAAAGAAACTCTTCTGCTGCTCCTTTAACGGAATTTAACGAGTCCAAATTTACAATAATAATATCAATTGCAGCATCTGCCTAAATTCATTAAAATTTTAAAAACTAAATCATTCTGAAAGTACTACCTGACTATAATTTCCACTGGTCGAAACAATTCGCCTATTATATTGCAAATATGTGTATTAAGAATATCTTGATATGTATAAAGTTTTATGGGGAAGAGAAAGGCAAACAGACGATATATATTAGTAATAAAAATTCAATAAAAAATTCATTTTCAGTCACTTTTTTCAGCAAAGAAAGGCAATTTTCAAATTATACTTTGTCCTTAACAATCTGATCTCTTATTTTTTTAGACTCTAGAAAATCCCGATTTGCCATGACGATATGAGCTCCATGAAGCGCAAGCGATCGAGCTGTTTCTAAGCCGATACCAGATGATGCACCTTAAAAAAAAATGCTGAACAGAAATATTCTCTAAAGCAATTTCAGTTTAAGCCTTTCCCAAGCTGATTAAAGATTAATATGACAAATTAAGCATTAAAATTTGAGATTTTTTTGCTAAATTACGAGGAAAATAGTGGAATTTATGGAATTTACATGGTTTTTGTATATTTTCACGATGTAATTTCATAATTCTATATTTACAGTACTCATATATAGTATTTTCCAAAGCACACCGAGGACAATACTTGGGTTTAAAATTCATTTGCAATAACTAAGCCAACTTGCTTCATTGGAAATGAATAAAAAATTAATTTAATTAATGACTCTGATCTGAAATTAGAAGATTAATAAGTAGGACAAGCTCTATTAAAAAATTATATGAATATCGTAGTGCGTGAAACCGAGCAATTTTTTGTTATTTCCTTTCAGCGCGATTTATTTATTCATTTATGCGAGAAAGGAGTTTAGTGCTGCAAAAACAAAACTGACATGATTCGGCTATCTAATATCGTCCATGCCACCAAGAAAATAATCTGTGATTTGAAGACCCGCAAATTGGTCTTGCCAGAATCAAAACCTTTCTTCTATTTCTTGCCAGAAATATAATTAATTGCACACAAGTTTATAAGCGCATTTATATTAAAACTAAGGGATTCCAAATTCTTAAATAAATTGTATCGATTTCGCAAAAAAACACTTGAATGTGCTTTTTTACTTCAATTAATCTTGAATTCAATTCTTATTTGTTTTTTCGAATTTGTTTTCCTTAATCACATTTTAATTTGTAGGATGTTTCTTGGCAAAAAAATTTTTGGATTGATCTATTTATTGCTCCATTGCTGAGAAAAAATTTATCCGTTCAAATGTACAAATGGATAAGTAGACATAAGCGCTGTATACAAATATATCCATTAAATCCATCAAAAAAAAGCAGTAATAAAATAAATCCTTTAATCGCTAATCCTCTTACTTGTTCCCAAATCATCTGCCAGAAATCATCGATAGTATTTGGAAGCGGTGCTTGTGTCACTATATAATTCTCCGAATTTAAGGCTCCAGAATATATTCATCGCATTTCACACATTGGAACCAAAGGTGCTCTTGAAAATCTTAACTGTATACTTTTTAAGAGTGCTTACCATGCTGGTTAGACTCGCTTTGCTAACTTATTGCACTAGGCAAATATGCCAGGTATCCCCTGGCGACAGACGTGCAGATGAGTTCCCAGCATCGCCCCGATTTTTGAACAGGTTTAGCACTTCGGGGAGTACAACCTCAGTATCGGCGCTCCGAATTTAGCAACAACTCACTAAACCATTTTATGAAATCTATATCTATAAATAATTAAGTCGATAATTATGAAAAATATAAATCAGTACGCAAGAATTCGGCTTTTTTTAGAAGTAAACTCGTCATCAAACCAAAGTGGAACGAGCGATCCTCCTTATTTCTATCGCCAATCGACTCCCTGGCAAAAATTTTTAACCGTACCAATAGCCATGTGTGAAATAGCCAGTGCAGCAACCCTAACCATAAAACAATGAGTGACAAAAAAGAAAAAATTCGAAGTCTAATACCTGTTATAAGCATAGTTTTCCCATTTAAATCGACTTCTTCAAGTACTTCCAGTGCCTTCGATGAAGCATCAAATTTATGTTTAATGGAAATTGTCATATTCATTTAGAAATTAAGAAGTATTCAATGTTTCCAACAATTCACTGCTTTAAAATTAGCCTGCAATATTCAAAAAACTAAATCCAGCTTAAAATAAAAAAATATAAGTACGATCGTTCTCCACATAAAAATTTTAACTCCCGATTAAGGCTTCATCAGCGAATACTGTGGACAAAATAAATATATATTAGAACTATCAAGACATAATCTTATTCTAAAGATAGATAGTAATGACTGCAAGATAAGTATAATATATAAGCTAAACCGGGAAGTGCTACTAAAATGATTGTGGTACTTTGTTTCAACTGACAACCTAAAATATGTTTCCTACAATTTGACAGTATTGAATTTTCTATTAAAATTGAAATACAGATAGAGGAGACGAACACTTCTATCTCTGACGAAATATCATTCATCCTAAAACTAAAACTGGTGTAAGTTGAAAAAAAAGATCAATTAATGATATAAATCGGCAAAAAATTCATTCAATAAAATTTTGGGACAATCTGTAAAAAAAAATAATTCTAAACAGGTCTAATAGTGGTTCATTTCAAAGACTGAAAATATAAATGACAAAAAATAAACCATCGACACAAAAAAACGTCCGAATATCGAAAATTATTTAAAAAATCCGTTATATTCCTACGATATTTTAGGTTACATTATATTACATTTCTAAACTGAAATACATCAGGTTTACCATTTTTTTCATAAGAAAAAAAAATAAGTTCATTCTAATTTATCATGAATATGACACGGAAGAACATAGCCTCGATTAATATCTAAACAATAGCAGTGATCTACCAATGCTCATCTAACGACCACTGGGAGCATTGAACCACTTGGTCCCTAAACGTTAGCGAGGTCGAAGAGACTGTTGAAAACCGGTTCTGCTGGCCTATATCTATCCTCATTAATCAAACAGCAACAAAAGAATCTGTGCATGAATCTAATCGCTATATGAAAGCATCAAGAAGCATCACCTCAATTCATGCAATATTACATATGTCATATGTCGACTTAACGAAAACTTTCATTTGATATTCTTTATATTCTTAATATTCTTTAGGATGGAAATCTTTCTTCAAAATTAAAGTTGGCGATAACAACTTATAAAAAATCGCCTTAAAAAAATTTTTCAACAGCAGATTCTACCCGAAAAATGAAAGAGACGACCTCTCATAATATTTTAAATATTACAGTAAAACGAAAATCACTGGTGAATATTCCTCAGTTCAAACATAATTTAATATTGTTTATTATAATTATTATAATCCTTACTATGAAATCCTTATTATAAAAAATGATAATAATTGATAATAATATTCAAATCCAACTGATGTATTTAATTTTGGTAAAAAGTTTTTCCAAGAAAAAAATAACGCATATACTATATCACCTTTCTACATCATTCGCGTGATTAAAATTGAGATTAGGTTTAAAAAATGCAGGAAATTCCACTGATTGCTTCATTAAAAAATTGTCTTGCCCGTGGGAAATTTCGAAATCACTATCCTTCATATTAAACAATCATATTTTATATATAACTATACTATATATTGGAGAATGGCTCAGGTTATTGCTTCCGTTTCGGATTGCCGATCCTCAAAGCAAATGTTTATATCTGCCTGGCTGTAACACACACAATCCTATGGCAGTGGAAGATTGGCCTTGAAGAAAGAATGCATTCGAAAGTTGGCTGCAAAAAACAAAGTGATTCAAACAGGTTGGCAATACTTATATAGACAAGTAATGGAAGAGGAAGAGTCGCCTTTTAATCGAAACCTAACGCCATATAAATATGTAATTTTCTCATGAAAATCGTCGACACCGATGAAAAACCCGCAGGACAAGTAAGAAACAAAAAAGAAAATAAGGCCAATCATTCCGTCAGAGGGCGAATAATCGGATTTTATTTACTTTTCTCTGTAATCGTCGTGCTAGTTTCTGTTAACCAATAATTGCAAAATTCAGGTATACCGAAATGCTTCGTCTGATTATTTTAGTGCAAATAAGCAATAGCAATAACAAATAGCAATCTGTTATTTTTTATTGTTTTTTATATGGAAAGTTGGTTTGGGTTGTTTAGTTGGATGTTTATATTTATTGGTTTGGTGTTATTTTGTTATGTTTTTTGTTAGCATGTTAGTCTTTATATATTGTTAATATATTGCTTTTGTGGTGATTTTGTTTTTACAAAGTAACGAAGTAACAGAGTGAAAACCGAATTATGACCGATTATTAATGAATAAAACTAATAAATATCAACGGTATAAAAATCGGACAAAACCTTTGATCGCATTGAACATTATTTGCGAAAATTATAACAACCGTTAAGTTTTATTTTATTTAAGTTTTCCTTTGTTCCTGGTTTTCATTGATATTTTTAATATCTCCTGATGAGAGGTTTCCATCTGCAAATCGTATTCTAACCAATTAAATACTTCTGCCAGTGAGAGAAGGTCAGAGGTTCAGAAGTGGTTCTGTATTATCCTAAAAATAAAAGATCTTGAAAATCTATGTGTATTATTTTAAATAATTTAAAAAAATTTCAGATAATATCAATAATTTTGGCGTGCAATTACTGAATTATTGATTTTTACAAATTAATATACATTCCAATCCAATTTTATCAATTCAGCCAAGGTGGATGGGTAGGATAATCGTCTGGTGGTTACTCAGAATATCGCCAATGTGCGGAGAGCAATGTCTCCGACAGGATACAATAATTGTTATTAAAAAGCTCTCGTGGGGATGGCGAACCTTTTGCCGCGAAATGAAGTGAAAGGCAAAAATTTCTTGTTGTATTAACAACTAGACATGGTCAATAATGATGCCTTTAACTGCCTTTTCAAATTTAACCAATAGAGGAGCCGAGGAACCACAAGGACACTCCACTTAAATATTTCGTTGATAATGTTGCAACGAAACGAATTTAAAATTTCAAAAATTCGTTTTCCAATTTTTTCCAGTTTTTCAGTTTTAAAAGATTTTCTGCGACAGTAATTTTTTAGTTTTTTTAAAATTAAATTTGCATTTTTAATATAATTAAGATAAAAAAGCAATTTGTTTTATTTATTTTATAGAAAAAAAATACATTTGCAGAAATAAAAAAAATTTTCCGAAAAGAATACTGTAACCACGAACCGCTAGAACACGGTTTGCAGTAAAAATAATTATTCGCTGGCGCTGCAAATCCTCGTCGACTAACATGCAGCGTTCGAAGCGAAATTTGCATTTCATAATTTTCGGATTTTGCACTTCTAAAAAAATTTACCATAAATAAATAATAAAAGGAAACCAATGTAAAAAGAAAACCAAAACTCATGTTTATTACATGTGGACGGAGGATATATTTTTTAGCCATATATTTTGCGTGAAAACGCCCTAAACGTGAATATACGGGGAAACGTGTAGCATATTCAAAATTCAGAAAGTTGTTTTTTTATGTAGGGACATACACAAATTATTGTAGCTTTTACATCGTCCTTCATTCTTATTCTTCTTCTAACAGTTCTCATCAATATTGGTTAGGTTGGCTCCGGTGGTTACAAAGGTTTTCAAGAGTGTTTGCTCGCTGATAATTAGAGAAGCATTCATTTTTCCATCGCCTAAGTCCATATAACGCTGGTCCATACGTTCATAACCTTTCTTGACAGTCCAGGTCTTGATCGGCTCTCTTCACTTTTGGTGCCATCACAGAGTTTGGCAAGTAACTAAATATTTGAGAACTCTTGAGGCAGACGACGAATAACATAAAACAAAAAATTTCACAAAAACAAAAATTTTAAAGTCATTAAATGTTTGTTAATCCAATTTGGTTCTGATTTTTTGAACGAATAAAATCTCCTTTTCCAGATATAGTTTCTACCACTATCATACGACTGTTTTTAGCATTCTTTATTTTAAAAAAATTTCTTACCTCCTGGGTAAAACCATCCTGAACCTCGAGTTCTTTACCAGAAGCCTGATAGAGGGTTCTGCACAACTATCCCTATGCGTTTTTCTGGATAGAAATCTCGGATGTTGCTCCTAGAATTTGCTGAAGCCACTTTTCTAGTTTAGAGGCTCCAAATGCTCCATTTATCATTGGGATTAGTTTGGATTAGTCTTATTCATCACTTATTCATTAATATATATGCATATATTAATAATGTATATATATCACAAACTTTTACATAGACTACTTGAATTTTTAAGTTTTTTTTGATAATTTTTTGATTTCTTGAAATTTGACATTCAAAAATGTCGTTCATCTATATTCATACTTTTCCATGCTACACTGAATTTATTTCTCTCCTTGTTATTTCATTCATTTGTGCGGTTATTAAGCTCTTTTAACATGAATGAACCGGCAGGAGTAAACGTCCCTTAAAAATCCGGATGCTGGCGACTCATCGCCCGTTTCGACAAAGCACCGAGTAAGTCTAATCAGCAATAGTGGGTGCTCTTTGGAGAAAAGCGCTCTTTTAACTAATTAAATTTTCTATCGTTATCGGCTCTCCTATTCTACGTGAAGGAAATAACCGATCTGTAATTAATAACTCTTTGCAATATATATTCAAATTTCTTCGTTAAAAGTCTAAGCAGTATTATGTGTAATACAATCATTTATCTATTCATTCATTCATTCATTCATTCATTCATTCATTCATTCATTCATTCATTCGTGTTTACATTCAAATATCGCATTCTTTTATCGATAACTTATATGTATTTAAATTATTACTGTTAACTGCGTGTTTAAAAACTAACCTATATTTTATATTTCCTTATAACTGTACAACTCATGGGAATAATTCTTAGGCACCATCGCTAATAACTGCCATCATATTCAACCATCGATAAATGATGTATTGTGCTATTGTTAATACACCGCTTATATACCGTATCAAATTTATGGCTATACTAAAAATGAAATATTATCCCTGATATGCAAAACAGCCACATGACAACTCACAGGCATTAATAGTACACTAATCCGTAATATAATTGGAAACTGGTTACACAGTTTAGGGAGTCTGTGTTCCAAGGCAAATTTTTAATTTTTCTAATTTTAGGGATAATTTTTTTTTTTTAAAGGAAACGTGAACATAGAAGTTTTAGGGCCAAAAATTGATAAATATAGAATACAAATGCTTAGATTGCATATAAATGCCACCGTGATATCGTATTTTAATTTGACAATCATAAATAAAATTTATTTACCCCTAACATTTGAAAAAACGATATGAAATTAATTTTCACATTTATCAAATTCTTCTCTGCATTTTCTTTCGTATTCTTCTTCAAGTTTAATAAATATATTTTCCCTATCAGTGAGCTTGAACCACTGTCTCTCTTCTTCTATGATCTGTTTATAATTATCCATCCTTTTTTTTATCATCTCATGCGCAGATCTAAAAAATTTAACTTGCATTGCAGAAATCTCTCGAAGTATATCAACTTTTTGCTTTTCCACCTTGTTTTGCGTTTGTAAGTATTTCATCTGAAATTAATGATAAACTTAACTAATAAAACACCAAAATAAAACGAAAAATTCAATTAATTTCATTTCCTCAGAATTTTCTGAAAAGAAATTTGGAAGAAAATCGATGCTTATTTCAAGAAAATGACACAAGCAATAGAAAAGTAATCAACGTTAAACGAATATAATTTGACAACAGAAAAATTGAGATCTGGGCTATAATTTTTAAAAATTTCGTAAAAATTTTCTTAATTTTTCAATAAAGATTTTATAAAGATGAAAGAAACAAAAAAATAAACCTCATGAGCCACATTTTTTGAGAATTCTTGTCGCATAGTTTTGTATATATTAAATGCTGAGGTTTCTGAAGGAAAATCTTTCATATATTTTAACCGAACTTTTTCAGACATATCAAAATCAACTGATATTGGTTCCATATGTAGTCTAAAATGGTATTAAAATGGTAAAATGAAAATTCAAAAAACCAGAAAAAAAAACCATAGATAATTTTCCAAACAACCTTTTTGCTTGTTCCACCATCTCTGTTGTTTCAAAACTATAATTTAACCAATCATTTTCTTCTTTAAGAAATTTTTCCTTAACAGCTTTGAAACCATTTATTTCCGAATCGATTTTTGACAATCTTTCATTAAATGCTTCTTCAGAAAAATTTTCAGAGCCACAAGAAACGTGAGACTAAAAGATTTTAAAGAAAAATTAAACAATGTGAGAAATATCTTAGTATCTTACACTAAATAGAATCCCAAAATATGAATTGTAAAAAATCTCTTAAAAATGAATCGCTGTCCAGTTTAGTTAACAATTAAGAAATATTGATGAAAATAAAAAAAGTGAAATTTTATAAATATTCTGAAATAATTGCCAAACAATTTGCCAAAACATCAAATACGAAAATTTCGGCAAAATGATACCATATAATACTTAATACTTTAGTGTTTATCCTTATTTTAAAAAATGAAGTCTCAAAAAAAGAAAAAATTAATAAAAATATACCAACTGATCTGGCAATTTCAAATATCCAAAACTTTTTCGACCACAAATCGACTGGCGCTTCATTTTCGGAACCTGCAAAAAATAAGACGGCTGAACGTAGAAACATTTTTTTCGTTGATTCAGCTAAATTTTAAATTTTTTTTTAAGAATTTTAGAACAAAAAATTAATAAATATTTTCAATTTATTTTAATTTTTTATTTTTATTTTATTTTTGTTTTTTATTTATTTTCTTTATTTTTTTAAAATTATCTTTGAATTCTCTATTTAATTTAATTTAATTATTATCTCTATTCTCTGCCTTTGACAGGAGTAAACCTGCCATTATGTCAAAGATCCGGATGGCTGCTGGGGACCCACCTGTACCTCTATCCCCAATTCTTTGGTGAAAGGGCCAAATCTTTTTGACGCGACGTCTTCCGATGCTCAAGCTACTTCTGACTAGGTGGTATATGTGTGGTTTGTTTGACGGAGGTCCGTCTTCCTCATGTAATTGAGTAATTATAAAACCTAGTTCCGAGCGAAGATATTGGCTATATCGGCTATTGGCTACTGTGGTGTCTCAGATAATTCGGGGAGAAATGGTATAGCGATCGTCATTGTCTGAAAAGGATCTGATCGAATGGAAGCCAGTAAATGAGCAAATGGCCTACGCGCGTTTCTAAGAAAAATTCTGCAATATTCCGGTCAGTGTATATACTCCAACTTTATCCGCAGACGGCCGCGATAAACATAAGTTCTATGCGGAACTTCAACTGCTTCAACTGTTAGCAACATCCCTACCGAGAAATGACATAGTCATAATCAGAGGAGACTGGAAAGCAAGGTCATAGTGCCGCTATAGTGAACTCGGTAATTAACAAATATAGCATCGGGGTCCAGTGCCAATGGAGAACGCTTTCTTCGTTTTGCCGAAGAGCATGAACTCTATGTTACTAATACATGCTTTCGGCATCGAAGGAAACATCTAGTCACGTGGAACTCTCCGGACAACCAATATCCTAATCAGATTTACTATATATTAGTCAGTTGCCGCAGGAAGAGCTCTGTACTTGATAGTCATTCTTATCAAGGCGCTGAAACTGGTAATCGCCATGGATCAAATCATATTATGGTTCGAGCTAAGATTCGTATAAAATTGACAAGTCGTAAGAAACAACGTATCCCATGATCTATCAATTATCTTAAATTAAAAGATCCGGGAGCAATAAACGCATTTCAGGCCGTATTATTGGAACACATCAGTGAAATGAATATCAATGAAATCTCTGGAAAGGCGAATGAATACTGGTCCCAATTAAAAACATGCCTACAAAAGTCGGCCACTTCCACTCTAAGGTATACTAGTAGAAAGTACTAGTTGGGTGTCGGAACCAACTGTCCAGCTGTCTAAAAAAGCTACCAACGCCCGAATGTTGGGAGATCGTGACTATCGGGTGCTTCGAAGGATTAACAACAGCAGCATCAACGACAGCAGCATGGCAGGATAGAAATCGCTATTGGAGTGATATTTCCTTGAGAATGGAGACGGCGGATCGGTGAGAATAGGAAACTTTTGCCTTCACAAAGCAACTATAACTAGAGAAGAGGTCAGAGAAATGATACGGGATATTAATGGGATGCCTACTAATGCTATTAAGAATCGTCTCAGAAGATGAAAAGAATTTTTTAAGGCCAGTAACCACGATGTGCCATCTGTTGTCCCGGATATAACTGAGTCCAGCCTTACATTTGCAACTGTGAGCAGCCAACAGAAGAAGAAATAATCTCTATAATCCATAAGAATAAAGCCAATAAAATTCCCGGAGAAGATGATCTTCAGGCCGAACTCTTCAAATGTTATCCACATTCATTCATAAGTCACCTTCAACAAATATTTTCTAATACCAGAAAACTGGAGCAAAATTCTATTTCCAATTTCTAAGAAAGGTGACAGGACGTACTGCAACAATAACGAGGAATCAGCCTACTGAACATCTCCAGAAACATTTTCGCCTTTCTTCAGCAAAATAGACATGGCAACATGAGACAGCAGAATGCGCCCTAAGCAAGCTGGATTCAAACCAGATGTGCTGACCAGGTATTTATGCTAAGAAGTATGCTGGAACATCGTTTCAAATACCAGCAGCCCACCGCCACTTATTTCATCGATTTTGCAGTTGCCTCCGATTCGCTTGATAGAACAAAGCTTTGGAAAGTGATGGAGTGTGATGGTGCCCCAGAGAAGATTATTCGATTCATAAAGGAATTTTATCAACACCTGTTACAAATCTGTATATAGTGAACTGACAGACTCATTCACAATAAGAATATCAGAGTTGCATTCTTTCCCCTACAATATTCAACCATGCGATAGACTGGATAATGGGCATCTCTTATCAGTACTCAAGAGATGTGCAAATCAGTCCGAAGCATCACAGACCTCGAATACGCTAATGATGTAGCCCTTTTTGCTGACAGATAATGAAATGCAAATAATATTAAACAATGTTTTAACAACTGCAGTATTGGACTCAAAATTATGTAAATAAAACGAAATGTTTTTGTCTTATATATAAGATGCTGATAAAATATCTATTTTTATCAATTCATTACCGGTAGAGGAAGTGCCCGAGTTTAAATATTTTGGATCCATTCTAATCCCAAATGGCCAGGCAAAGGATGAAATTGTAATCCGGATAACGACAGCTAGAAATGTTTTTCTAGCTGATGAAACCTTTATGGAACCGTTGCGAAATTACCATAAAGACGAAAATCCGAGTCCATGTAGTCGAAATTCGTTCGATCTTGGTATATGGATACGAAACATGGCCAATGAGAGTGGAAGATATCAGTCTTTGACCACTCATTCTAAGTTACAGGTCCACCGAGCCGATAAAATTATACAAGATTGTAATTATATTTTCTTCGCTCAACCACCACATGTATTAATAATATTATCAGAGAGAGTCGCTTTCGCTGGTTATGGCTCGTTCTCCATCTCAGGAGTTGATAATTCGTTGCTTGCTAAGCCTTGTGATGGTTAGCGTCAAAAGGGAGGTGTGCCAATCAAGACCTGAACTGATATAGTCAGGAAAGATTTTGAACGTATAGGGGGACTAGCGATATATGGACTAAACAATGGAATTTGAATGGCTTCTATTAATACTAGCGATGGCGTCGGACTTGGAGATGTTTTACCCTTGCAGCCAGCGGAGCCAGCCTAGCCAGTAATGGTGAGAGCTGCTAGAAGAAGAAAAATATATCAAAGTATACTTTTATCAACAGTAATTATCATTACTATTGATTACTGTTGATAAAAGAATGTTTAAAAAGTAACCACAGTTATTAATTTGCTTTTCTTTCCTTTTTCTTCATTGTTATTAAAATTTTCCGCATTTGACCGACTTCCATGCGATGAAATTTTCATCTAAAACACATTTTCAAAATATTCGACTTTAACCGACTATACATTTCATATAAATGGAAACAGAAAATGCCAAAGGTGAATTCAATATTGCATTTTTTTATCTCTAAATTAATGAACGAGCCGAGCCGAAATAGTAATCAAATATCTGAAAAATCTTAAGCATTTTTATTAGTCAATAATAACAGAATTAATTAAGATTTACCAACTTTACTTGCAACTAACTAATTAATTAACCTAATAAGCTTAGTTCTACTATTTTAATGGAAGTGTGGCAGGAAAGGGGCGGGCGGCTTTTCGTCGGGTCGGGTCGGGTCGGGTCGGATCGGGTCGGGTCGCCTCGCGAGAATTTCTCATCGGCTGCAGCCGAGACGATAACCTCAATCGCCAAGCGTTTAATTTAACTAAACTAACTTTTCTAAATTATTCAATTATTGATAATATTTCAATTAAATATTGCACCACAGAGCTAATAATAAGCAACACAAAATTGCAGCCAAAGAAATTTGAAATTTTTAAATTTCGCGCAATTTTTTATTAAAAAGATTTTTTTCTGCGATGATAGGCCCCATTCATTCCATTCATTTGATCCTACATACATATTTCTATTTCGCTTAAAAAGGACAATTTAATTTGCAATAATTAGAAATTAGAAACAAATAATCAGAAATAAAAGAATTAAAATTAGCAATAAATTAAAAAGTCAAAATTTTTGTGGAAGTGTGCTGTAATTTTTGTATTACAATTAGGTCTTGAAACGAGTGTTCTCGATACGGCAGTTTTGTGGTCGAAGATTTGTGCTTGAAGAAATTTTCAAGAAATTGTTTGATATTGTAGGGCTGTTTTGGGTCACTTCTCGTCCTTTATGTGCCAAGGGGCCTCTCACGATTCACAAATAGTTTAGTGGATAAGCAAAAATATCTGTGTTCATATTTTTATATTCTGTGATAATTATGCTTTTTATTTGTCATTGTAGTATAATTTCGAGTTTTTTTATGCAAAATATTTCCTTTGGTACAGTTCGAAATTCTGGAAAAAATTAGCTGTCAACTCTAACAAACATCTTTGGCACAAAAATTTTAAGAATCGGTAAGAAGTCTTTTTATGCGAAGACTTCATCTGCATTGCAAATTCTCTTTAATTTTTAATCGTTTTTTTCTACGCTAATTTCTGCTTGGCTCAATTCATTGGCTATAAGATTTAAATCCCTTTCGCTAAACACGATTCTTAGGAACAGAAAATTTTACATGGCTCGCTAGCACCATTTGCTTACTTTTTATAATTTTTACTCAGTATTATTCCTATAAGTATATATATTATATATATATAAAATTTATATTATATTTTTTCAGGTGATATTTAGAAATGCCAGAACGTGTGGAAATTTATTTGTCAAAAATGATAAATTCAATGCAGCGGTCAAATCCAGCCGTTGCTGACGTTTGGCATAAGCTGGAACATTTCTATGTTAAAAAGTAATTTTTTCTCAAATTTTAAATTAACAAGTAATTATAAAATAAATAGCTAAAATAGCACTTTAGGATCTATATAATAAGTAATTGTATTGTAATATTTAATGGTATTATATTACGGTTATATTATTATGTGCTAATTTGTTGATATGCCTATAAAAGAAAAAAACTATAGCAAAAAACTGCAATAAAATCAACAGTATGACTGAATATCATCCATTCATCTCTTATGCTCATTTGTATGGCATGTATTCTTCTAAGAACATTGCTCACCATTGCTGCTTAGGCTGCCTCCACTGGCTATAAAAGTAAGAGGCACGTTTCAAGTGGCATGCCATCTTCGACAATAATTGAGACCATTCCTTTTTCCATTGTCGAAGTCCATATATTGCTGGGCCACCTATACGTTCAAAGTCTTTCCTAACTATATCTGTCCAGCTCGCGATTGGCCCCCCTCGCTTCTGATGTCACCCATCACAGGGTTTTGCACATAATGAAATATGTGTCAACTCTTATGGCGATGAAGAACGTTTCCTAACAGCGAAGGCGACTCTCCTATTAATGCAAGTGGTATTTGAATGAATGTGGATATGATCATGTGATACTTTATCCACTCGCGGAATACGTAAAAATGTTCCTTAGACATGAGTGGACAAAAGCAGATAACTTCTTAATATCCTCATTGGCCATGTCTCACAGCCATATAGCAAGATTGAACAAATCGCTTATGTATAGATGCGGTCTTTCGTTTTTATGGTGATTTCACGACGTGTCTGTAAGAGTTTCGTCAATCGGAAAAACACATTTTTTGAAAGGGATAAAAGAAAGAAAGGACTTTCTTGAAAGAGCACTGCCCTAATCCGGGTTGTAATATTATCTTTTGCCTAGCCATTGGGTACTAAAGTGGATCCAAGGTATTTAAAGTCGGGCACTTCCTCAAGAGGTATTTTATTAGCTTCTTTCATATAAGACGAAAAGACTTTCGTTTTATTTATATTCATCACCCTGAGTCCGATTCTCGCTACTATGTTATTTAGTATTGCTTGCATTTCGCCATAACTGTCAGGGATTACATCGTCAGCGTATTCAAGATCTGTGATGTGATATTTCATCTTAAATTGATCTGTACATTTCTTGAGTGCCGACAAGCGATATCCATTATCCAGTCTATCGCATAGCTAAATATTGTAAGGGAAAGGACCTTGGCGGATAGCAGTTCTTAATTTTTCGAAGGATTCTGTCGGTTCCCCCTATATAAAGACCTTCACCGACATACACTGATGTTACAGTTGCTTGGAATAGTTCCCTATTATCGCCTAATCGAGCCGCCGTCTTCAATGTCATATCGCTGCAATAGTGGTTTCTGTCCTGCCGTGCTACTGATGTTGCAATTCTTTAAAGCATCCGATAGCCAAGATTTTCTGTCATTCGTGCTTTGGCAGCTTTTTCAGACAGTTGGACTTCATCATACACCGCACTTCATTCTAGTATGACCTAGTGTGGAAGTGGCTGATTTTTGGAGACATTCCTTTAGTTAGGACCAGTATTATTTGAGTTCCAGAAAAATCGTTGATATTTATACCATTAAGATTTGAAATTCGCCCTTAGTCTCAGAATTTTTTAGTTTGAAATAGTTGAAAGATCTTTGGGGATGTTTTTTGGCAGTATCAATTTTATGCAGATCTATAATATCGTCAGATCCATGGCGATTGCCCGTTTCAACGCCTTGATAGGAAAAATTAATACGGAACTCTCTCACCGGCGACTAACTAAGACAACTTAGACTGCTCGAAACGTCAATTATCCAGGAAGTTCCATGTAATTAAATGTTTCGGAAGCAACTATTAGTAACAAAGTTCATGTTCTTCATGCATAAAGAATTCCCCATTGGCGTATCGGACCCTGATGCCGCATTTGCCAATTGTCGAGGTCATCGCAAGGACATTATGACCATGCCATGTTTCGGTAAAGACATTGTTAGCAATTGAAGTTCCACATAGAACTTATCTTTATCACGGTCATCTGCAGACAAAGTTGGTGCATAGATTGATGATCGAGATATTACAGAACTTATCTTAACAATGGCCATACGGTCGCTTAACGGTTTCCACTCAATCAAAATGGATTGGTCCTTGTGAGGAATGAATCGCTACGCCATTTCGCCCGAAGCATCACAGTGGTATAGCTAGTACCTTTGTTCTGAACCAAGATTAGTAATTCCTCGAGAGCCGAAGTGAAGAAGACAGACTTCCGACAAGCGGACGATATCTACACGACATTTAAGAAGAGTGTGGTCAGTAATCGCTTCACTTTTAATATCTATGAGCGTTTTGATATTCCACGCTGATACAGCTAGCACTTCGCCACGCGTGCAGAAAGCCGATACTCTTGACAGATTTATCGTGGCTTGCGGTCATATTTATGAACTTTAACACCATTTACACTAGGATAGGATGCACTTATCTTATATCAGACCTACCTGAGAGTATCACGCGCGGTGGAAGACGCAGACGCCGTATCAAAAATATTTGACCCTTTCACTATGGTCAGTTGGGGATAAGTACGTCCCTGCCGGTTCTTTGATATGGCAGGTTGAAGATAGTCATAATATTCTGCAATTCTATAATATTATGTATGATAACATATAGAGAATAATAGCATAAGATGAAAGAAAAAATAAAAAAAATTAAGTTTAATAAGAGAGAAAAGGAAAAAACTTATCGCTTGCCATACCCAAACGAATAATCGATAATCAATTATATTCAAAATAATAGTTATTGCTATATCTTGGTAAAGCAGTTGGATGAACCAGCTGTTTATTAATTGCTCTTAGGCCTCACATGGCATATATAAATAATTAGAATTTATCTTTTTTCACAATATGTAGTAAAAGTTTAATTTCTTCTTTGTAAAATATTTTTTTATGAGATGATTTTTTATGATTAATTATCAATAGAATTATTGGTGCATTTATTAATTAATAATTAATTAATTAATTAATAATTATAATTAATTAATTAATTAATAATAATTATAATTAATTAATAATTATAATTAATTAATTAAGAGCATAAAATAGCCCTATAATTATGATTTTTCTGCGCAATAATAAATAGTCTTTCGCTAACCAATATAATGCGGTTATTATACTATGGAACGGATGAGAATTTCATTTTTCAGATTATGGCATCAGTTGACTGTTGAGTTGGGAAAAGTTGTAGTCGATGAAGAGTTTATAAAGTCTTTGGACTTAAATGAATTTTACGAAAATTTCATTTGGGATTTTGAACATCGCATTAATCCTCTTCAACTTGTCGAAATCGTTATCCCTGTTGCTAAATACATTTTTGTACGTAAAGGTTCAAATTTCTTCTGGTTTTTGATTGATTGAACAGTTTTATTTTACTCATTTTTTTCCTTATAATCGTGATTTTTTTACGTGTTTCTGATAGTTTATTAGAAATTTTAAGGTTGAACTTTGATTATTTTTTTTTTTATAGATAAAGAATCTGCTTATGAATTTTTGAAGAAAATAGAAAAAACTGTCTGCAAGGATAAAGCAGCTGTTGTGAGAGTATGGACGGGGCAGATTGAATTGCGTTTAATGCACAAAGACAAAGCTGATCGTTGTGTCGATATTCAAATAATAAGAGTAGTTGTTTCAAATTGAAGAGGGTTCATAACTACTAACTAAGTTTATATGAAGATTTTTCTCGAAAGTAAAGTAGTATTATCTCGAGAGTAGAGGGAAACTAAACTACATTTAATGCACTCATAGTTGATCGATATGTCTATATTCAAGCGAAATTTAAATTCTTCGGCTTGAATTCACAATTCACAATCCCTTTCGTGAAAAGATATATGATGATTTTATACTGCATGATGTTGTAATATTCAAATAAAGTTATAATGGATAATATGTTAACACGAAATATTTTAACATTTTTCTTATAAAATTCGGAATTATTTCAAGTAGATTAAAATCATAATAATTTCAGTATTTTCAGAAACTTATTGAAGAGACTCAAGAAAAAATCGATGAATTGCAGGGAGTGACTCCAGTTCACGCTCCATTTTATAAGGTAAATTTGTTTTTATTTTGGTAATATTTGCGGTGGCATAGGAGTGAAGAGCTTGGAGACCTCTTACCCTTGTAGCCAGCGGAGCTAGCCTAACCAGTAATAATAAAAGCTATTAGAAGAAGAATATTTGCTGTTTAAGATGTCTTATTGGTAGTTTGTTATTACTTTTAGCTTATATTTAGCTTTGTTATTCTTCAATCGCTGTATTTGCATATTATTATTATTGTTATTATTATTATTATTTAATTCCCGTTTTTCCCCTTTTTCCCGTTTTCAGGTATCTTCAACCTATCTGAAAGAAATTGGAAATTATGCCGCGTATTATCGTGAAGCACTTCGATATTTAGGTTGTGAGAATCCAGATAATTTATCACAAACAGAAAAGCAATTGCAAGCCGTCCTCTTAGGTTTTGCAGCTATGCTTGGAAACGATGTCTACAACTTTGGAGAATTGGTGATCATTGAAATATTGCTGGCGTAGATTATAATTTGGAATTTTTTTTAGGTTAGGAAGAAGTTTTTTGTCGGATCTTTTTCAGTTGGCACATCCTATTTTGAAATCTTTGGAAAATACACAGGAAAAGTGGATAATAGATGTCCTCTATGCTTTTAATTGTGGCGATTTGAAAACATTTCGTAGATACAAGAATCAATGGTGTGAATGGGAAGATCTTCAGAAACACCAAATGTTTCTCGAAGAAAAAATTCGCTTATTAGCATTGATGGAGGTATTTGTTCTTTATCCTTTATCCTTATATCATTTCTTTATTTATTTATTTTAATTTACATTTATTTATTTATTTATTTTAATTTATTTTACTTCTGTGTTTTTTTATCGTAAGCCAATTTTTTTTCAGATCGCTTGGGCTCGACCATCAAAAGAGAGGTTTATACCTTTCAGCGAAGTCGCTGAACGTGCAGAAATTGATTTCGATAAAGTAGAATTTTTAGTAATGAAAGCCTTGAGCAAAAATTTGGTAACTGGGTCAATCGATCAAGTCAATCAACTGATCAATATTGCATGGGTGCAACCTCGAGTATTGTCTAAAGAGCAGGTCTATTCAGTTTAAAGAATATTTAAATTTTGTTTTAAAACCTTGATGAAAGGGCGACATAAATCATCTTCATATTTGTCTTATTTTTTTATGGAGTTGTTCGTTTTCTTGATTTCTTATACAGTTAATTGATTCATTTAAAAAAAAAAATTGGCTTGCTGCTGTGGTTTTGCAGTTTTATTTTGATTGAATCATTATATATAAAGTTTTCAATGTAGATAATGGCAATGAACGATAGAATTGGAATGTGGTGTTCTGAAGTGGAAGCGATGCAAACATTGGTTCGTGAAAATGCTGAAGCAATCCTCATATCAGTATAAAATGTTCATGAGCCTGCAAATATTTTTAAAAAAATTAGAATTAACTATATATATATAGTTATATCCACAAATATTTTTGGCCCATTCTGCTATTCAGTTTTATTTATTTTCGAATTTTTCGAGTTGTATCCATCAAGTAAAATTTTGTATCCTTTTGTATTCTTTTTATCACAAACAAAATAAATATGTATTATTATTATTTGTATGTATTATTATTTGTATGGAAAATGCTGTAGAGAAATTTGTCCTACCATTATTTTTAAATTATTAAATAATTTACATAAGTTCATCAAAAAGAAATAGCAAGATTAAATTAAATTCAAGGTTAATAAGGTTAAATTTAATCAATAAGCGATATTTTTTAAATTGATTGAAAAAAATGGATCAAGGATCATGGAGCGTCATTAAATGAACCCTCCCTCAATGAATAAAAAGTGCTCGGAATATGTTGATTTTACAGGAAATTGTAATTGTTGTAAATGGAAAATTAACCTAAATTTCACTCTATTTGAATTAACGAAAAACCGGTCAACGGTGAAGGAAAGTTGCTCACCTCGTCCTTTAAACTAGAATAAATTTTGAATTCATGGTCATCGAATAACTATGGGTATCTGTGCAAGGTAAACCTTTCTAATACAATTTTTTTCGGAAAATGTAGATTTCTTATAAATTTATAAGGAAAAATAAGAATTTCGTTTCAACAACTTTCAACAAACTTATAGTAGCAAGCAAGTTGGATAATGCTGCTACTGCGGTCAAAGCGAATCGTTTTTGAAATAGGCCACCGTTCTAAAATTATCCTTTCATAATTGGCTTGAAATCGACTCTTAGAGTTGACACAATAAAGGAAAAAATTTTTGTTTGCCAGTTGATGATTGATGCATTGAATGTCAGAAAATGATACTTTGTTTCAATTTTAGAAAATCCTTATAGTTGTTTCGATGAAATTATGCGCTTATTCTGTTTATTTCAAAGAAATTTTTGTCTATTTTGGTAGCTGCGTTGGACAGAGAGGTTCGGATGAGATCTTTGCGTGCTGTCGGTTCGTTTTCCATTCGCTTGACATACCAGAGTATGCAACATGAAAAAACTAGTGATATTGTTTAACGAAATTTCGACAATAGCAAGGCGATTAATTTACACGAACCCATTCGAAATAAATGAGAGGGGTTGTTGATGAGAATGATAATTTGTGCGAATAACGCTGTTTACAACATCATCCGGTGTTTGTCGGTCTCAGGCTCAACGATTTATAAATACGGGTCAGATTGTATTATTTGATTTGAGAATGTCAATAATATGGGGCTTGTTTTGCACAAAATGTAAAATCGCTCGAATGGTCATTTTGGTCATTCCAAGCCGTGCCACGCCACCCATCATTGCTTCATCTTCTAGCCGACATTACCAATAATTTCGTCCTAATTATTTACGCTTCAGTGTTAACTATCGTTTGCCACCATCGTTCGTTTATTACTAATTTGCATTTTCAACTTCTATTTCCAATAAAGCCAATCTAACTTGGCAAATTTCTCTTTCTGAAAAAAATAGATTTGTTACTCTCGTATCAGCAGTTTTTGAAGTGTTTTCAGTTATTTTTTCGATTCGTTCGGCTGATATTAGTGTCTTCTAACTCCACTTATTAGTTGGTTAATTCGTCGGCAACTACTATGAAACCTTTTAGCTGGAGAGTTATTTAGGTGATGTACAGATAATTCACTTTTATCGCTCGGAAAATTAATTACTCGGAAAACATATTTTGAAAAGTTATTTTCAAGTTATCAAAAAATGCCTTTTTTGATATTTTAAAGATTTTTGGAATATTTTTTAGAATAATATTTTAATTTATGCTTCGTCTGTCTGATGATTAATGCTTAAACAGACAAGATGTAGAAGGAGAAAAGCTGTTAGCATCAATACTGTAACGACGTGAATAGAAGCGAATACCTGTCCGGAAATAGGGAGGTGTTTTCTCGTTTGACTGGCTGCGTTGAGATGATGGAATAAGACGGTAATAACTCGAGCTTGACAACTGAAACAACGCACCATTCGACCATCATGTCCTATTTATTGTAAAAAAATTCTTTTAATTTCCCCTCCATCAAATTTGAAATTTATGAAGGGTCTTTCTTAAAAAAAAGAAATGAAAAACTATAAAAATCGAGACTGATAACTAAATATTTGATTAATGATTGAAAGGGAAAGTAGAATGACAGTGACACATTTAATGTTTCACATTTTCTTTATTACGCAATTGACCGGATCTGTTTCGATTTAGATAAAACCAGATTAGAAATTGGGCAATTGTGTCATTCGCGATAAATAACACTCCTAACTGTTGTCGTCGTTCATTCCTACGTGCCTCTATTTTATTCAGTTTTCCGGATTTCGGTCCACAATTACAGTTTTAGTCTCAAAATCTCAACAACAAATTGACAATAAATAGAGTTGCAAAAAAAGAACCATTTTTCATTTAATTTATTATTTATCATAGATTTCCTATCATTTTAAATAATTAGCTTTTTGAGAAAGTGCTTACTTACTCCGTCTGACTATCTTCTTAGTCGGTTTCTCGGATCATGCGGTTAAGATGAAGACTTTAAAGTCTAATAAACCTAGTCATCCCTATTCTTCAGTAGTATTTTCTCTATTACGATAGAACACATTAAGATTAATAATTCATGTCGTGCAAAACAAACTTAAGTTAATTAAATATTTAAAGTCAATTAAAATCAGAGTAATCAAATAGGAATTTCAAGAAAATAATCGCAATCTCGATTAGCCATAAAATGAGAAAAGATTTTCTCTCATAACGCATGATTATTTTATTAGAAAATAATTAAAATGCAGTTTGCTTCATCAAATATCTTTGGTTTGGCTATCTTTAGGATGAAAAACTTCAACCATCACGATTACCATCACGATTTAACTTTTAATGACAATTTTAGTTGCATTAAGAGAATGGAAACCACGGTGATAGTATAACTCGAAATAAGACGCCATTCAACTGCCCCTTTCGAAAGAAGATCAGCACATTCCGATATTCATTTTATCGAGGAAAATTAAAATTTCAATTTCGCTTTAATTCAAACCCTTATTTTAAATGGCTTTTTTACTAATGGAAATCCGGATATCAGAGGGATTGTAGTTTAAATTATCGTGTTGAAAAGAGTTCGGCTCCTCTGTCCGACAGAAATAAACGTGCCGAGGAAATTCAGGGGCTGCAATGCTGGCAGCCCACTTGTATTTCCGTCGCTAAGTGACTCCTTGGCAAAAATTTCTAATCTCATTAACAACAAGCCTAACTAGAAATGAACACAGTCTATTCAGTCTATTTATTTTACTTGCTTGTAATTTCATTCTATTTCGTCATTGAAATTTATGAGAAAACAGTTAGAAATCATGCAATTAATGATGAATAACAAATGGCTGACAACGATACATCGTTTCAAGGGCATTCATTAATTTATCTAAGATCGATTCAATAATAACAAATTTGATTTTCTCTAGCATCCGTCTTCGCATTCCCATTTTTCTGGTTGAACAACCTATAGGTCAGGCGGAACTTCTAAATAATCAGAAAAAAATTACAAGTCACTTAACTTGTTTTTAAAAATTTTTATTTAAAGGGACATCATTCTGCTTGAGCAATGCGTTCGATTTGATTTCAGCTGACATACACCATATAAAACAACTTTGTTCATGGGCTTATTTGATCAACAAGCCACAAAATATGGTTGATTCATAAAGGAAATATTAGATACTGAAAGTGTTTGAATTATTTTCGCCTTGTTTAATTCGAGAAAAAGCCAATAGGAATGGCCGTTTGCTTCGTGGCCGAAGTTTTACCTCCAGATTTTTTAATGATATCTTGACAGAAGTAGTATGCAAACTCTATAGCTATTGCCGTTATAGCCGAAATTCTGCTGTCGCACATCTTTTATTCCGCGTTTTAAGTTGCTATAATAATTCTTAATTTTTTGACCTTATTGTGCTCCAAAAACACTCGGCAATGTTGCTCAATTTCATCGGCTGAAGATGTCTTGTCGAGACCGGTTTCGCTGGAATCTTACCAGTTCATCAGTCAACTTCGACAATCCACCAAAATAAGCTTGGCGATCTACGTTCATGCGAGTCAAATCTTACGCCGTACAAACTCGCGCTTAAATCTTTTTATTTTTGTTTGCATTGCAAAGACACTTCGAAATTTTTTTTTCACGAAAAGATCGACGAATTTCATTTTGTTGAAAGTTCAAACTGCTGTGCTTAGCGTAATTTAGGCCTTAAAGGCCTGAAACGTTTGTTTTATCCTTATTAAATAATAATTAAATTCGTTGGCTGATTTGATGAAAGTATTCACAATTATTATTTTTCACCATTTTGCTCCAATTTTTGCTTTTTTTCATTTTTTCGATTCGCCAACTTGAACTTCAAAGGTCACCGTTTTCTTTTTTTTATATTTGGTTCACATTTTCGATTTTAACCAATTAGAGAATAATGATTCGGATTGTGATTTATGCAATTGCACATAGTAGTAGTATGCGGTGAAAGTAAAATATTAAAGAGATTACGAAGAATGTGGAGAAATGCGTAAAAAGAATCGCCGATTGGACCCAAGGTGGTTTCAAGTTTTTCAACCAGATCGCAACCCTTTTTTTTCATTTCATTCGTGGTGATCCTGTTCCACATTTCATTTATTCTTTTCCTAACTCAACAACCGTCATTTTCCTTAATCTGATAAGTGTGCGTCTCTTGATGCATTAATGGTTTATTCAATAAGTTTTATATTTTTTTTGCCTATAAAACCATAAAAATATTAAATATTTAATATTTATTTAATATATTTAAAAATATTAAATATTTTTTATTCTATCGAGTTTTTTTACTGGAATTCACTGTAAATAGAAAATTTATAGAATTAATGAAACAATATTTAGGATCGGACGATAGGAAATCTGCAACAATTTAGAAAGAAATATGCATTAATCCAGGAACGACTTGTC